ACAATGCCTGGCCCACAGCAGGTGTTCAAGGAATACTTGTTACCTGAGCAAGATGAGGAAGATGGGGAGGAGTATAGGTTCACACAGAGAGAAAGGCATGGCCAGAAAAAAGAATACCAGATTCTGGACTCTGCTTTAAATTGTACACTCAATTTTCTCAACCTCATAGCATGCCCCACAATAATAAAAAGCAGACACACTGCTTCAAAGAAGAATGTATAACATACTAGCCCTCACTTTTTCCTTCGACAAAGCTACAGTTTCAAAAGCAGGAGGTAAAAAAAAAAAAATCAGTAGTAACAAATAACGCAAGTCAAAACTCAGCAGCTTATACAATATATTTTAAAGGAAAAGAAATTTCTCATAAAAGATTCCCTTAGAATCAGCACAAATTGGGGCATAACATCCTCAAGCAAGCATTTGGTTCATGTGTAATAAAATCATTTTAGAAGAAAACCACCCAAACCATCTGAGAAAACACAAAATCATAAATGCAGCCGAACTTGACACCCAGGGAACCAAAATATCAGCAAGTCAATTTCGTTCTCCATTTAGTCTTTTATATTTGGCTAACTGAGGTTACCAGTCTGTTTCCAGATAGCTCCTCCTAAAGTAGACGTCCATATTTGTAGATTAATAAGTCAAAAGCATAAAAATAGCTCTACCCAAATTAAACACTGAGTGTGTAAGGGAATCTTTCAAGGAAGTAAGTAATAACAGTGATAAAGTGTCTTTCCATAATTTGAAGGTCCAACACATCTAATCTAATCTAAAATTCATTCCTAACAATTTTTGAAATGTATCGATTCTTGTCAGGGTTTTGAGCTGAATTTAACCTGAATGGTGAGGACAGGGATTACATCTCAGCCTCAGTCTGGTCGGTGATATTCCTGATTACTGTGAGAATTACTAGGGAAATTCAGTCCCAGGAGTCACATTTCTCTTATTTGACAGGCATCACAGTAACTGACAAATACACCAGAACTGTGTTTGCCAATCTTTATAAAATTGTTTTTCCTTCCATAATTCTGGCAAGGTGCCCCACAGAAGACAAGTTTAGAAACAGGATTCTGTGAATGAGCAACTGTCCCCCTAGAGGAGCTAGAAATGGAGGTCTAGTAAAGGTAGAGAGTCAGAACACCTGACGTTTGTTTATTTCGATTATGGCTTTTGAGGTTGGGGTGAGTGGATAGTGAGACAGCAGAGGATTGGAAAAGGAAAATTTGCAGATGGGGAAAGGGTGAAAGAACAGGCTCAAGGCTGTTGCTGTGAATCCATCTAACCCCTCCTGGCCTGCTTCTGTCGACCAGTACCCTCTGTGAAGCAATCCAGGTGATGTTGGCTTTCTATTAAGAAAGCCAAAATCCTTTTAAATACCTGGACACTGCTGGGGAGAGTTCTATTGGCATCACGCTGGCAGCCACTAAACCAATCATACCTTCACACCCCTTGGTTATTGCCTATGGTATAGGGCACTGGGGTAATGTTTTAACTCCTCATACTCTGACTTTCTAAGTGCTCTTTTGCTTCTTTCTGGCTGAAGAATTCAACCTTCCAGTACTCCCCTGGCTTTCAGAGCTTTTCACTGTGCCCTCGGGCTGTGAAAGCACACTTTTATCTTTAACCTGTTCTTGGAACCCTACGCCTACCTCCAGGCTTTTACTGCAATGTGTCTCCTTGAACACTGTTTCTATGTGGGATTTTCCATTCCTCCACCCTCCAATGCAGAAGTCAGGGTCTGCCACATTTATCAGCTGTTTTCCAGTAAAAAGTTCTTACTAATTTTAGGCTCATCACCTCTTCTCCCCTGCTTCATTCACTGAAGACTTTCACTCAGTCTTCCATTCCACTCTGCTACTTCCGCATCCATAGGATCAGCCATAGCCTTAGCAACTTAGTTCCCTGATCTGCCGCGACAAAAGTCCTTCACTTCAGTCACCCACTTCCATGGCCATATTGGGGACCCTGTCAACGCCTGGAGCTGCTCCACTTGAGAAATTGCAGAGTCAGTACCCTCACTCCTAGTCTTTCTACTGTTACAGTTGTTCCCTCTATGTCTCTCACTGAGATGCCCACTCACCCTAGTTA